CCCCCCCCCGCCCCCAAGAGGCTCACAAGGAACTGCTGCCAGCCAGAGGAAAACCCCAAGGGGGCACCCTCTGGGAGAACGGGTCCACCCGAAGGGGCAGGAAGACATCAGGGAAATTGTGTGAGGGTGGTAACAGGAGAGTACACCCCACAGAGGAGTGGGGGGCTGCCGCGCAGCCTACTGAGCAGACACGTGCCAGCCTGGGGGCCGCTGCGACCCAGCTCTGCGCCGCATCAGGGGTGCTCGGGCTGGCATGCAGACGCCCTGGCTTTCCTTGTCACACGTTACAGCGCGAAGCCATGGCTGCTGTACCGCAAACCTGCCCTGCCCCCACCCGGGGCTAACACCAAAGCAAAGAAACTTCGAACAAAATAGAGCTCAAGCCCCGGTCAGTATCAGGAGCAAGAGCCAAGGACAAGACTGTGCAGAAAAGAAAATAGACTGACCCCCAGCGGGGAGCCTGAGTCAGCGCCAGCCAGTGCCCGGCGCTGCATCTCGGCTTCAAAACAGCCTGGAGGAGCGGGGGACCCCGCGTTAGGATGCTAGTTCTGAGGAGCCGGCCTGTGGGGCGACCCCTGTGGACCCCACCGCATACTGGCCCCCGCCGCGCGGCAGGAAGTCCAAATTCTGAGCGTGCTGGGGGCTTGGTGTCCACCGCCCTTCCTTACACTACTACCCAGGCCAATACCAGCTCCCTGGCCGCTCCGCGAGGACAGCCCTCTGCACGCCCACAACCGTTAACACCCGCGCAAAATTTAAAGTGTGGAGACAGAAGAGCACGTCGCAGAGGCCAGAGCCAGAACCCTGAGCTGAGCCCTGAGCTGAGCCCTGTAGTGGAGTCGAGGAGCAGGACCAGAGAGGAGTGGGGGTGCCATGTGGCGGGGGTCTCAGAAACACACGCAGCATAGTGAGTCAGTGGAGGGGTGAAGTTGTCTCCCCAAATTATGTAATTATGTAAATAAGTGGCAAATCAATAAGGTGTGTGTGTGAGGGGGAGTTTGGCATCTAAAAAAATTAGGTGGTGCCAGGGGTTAAGTCAGCTCTATGAAGCTATAGGCAGCCACTGCATCTCTAATCCAGTCCCCAGCCAGGGGGGGTGACCCACATGGCCCAGCAGACCACTCCTGTCTCCCCACTGTTCCCCTCAGCAGTGTGTTTCAGTGGATCTGCTCTTCTGCTCCCCACTCTGTCTCTGGTGAAGTCACTCACTCCCTCCTCCTCCTCCCGACCTCTGGCCTGCACCCCAGTTCTTGGATGCATAAATAAAATAAATCTTTTTTTTAAAGATTTATTTTATTTATTCGTACAGAACTGGGGTACAGGCCAGAGATGCGGAGGGTGAGAGGATTCACCAGGGACAGGGCGGGGAGCAGAACAGGTCGACTGACAAAGTACACTGCTGAGGGGAGCAGCGGGCGGGTTGGTGTGGTTTTGCCGCGCCATGTGGTCGCCTCCGGGGCGGGCGGGGATCGAACTCATGCGGAAGTGGCTTAAGCTTCTTAGTGCTGTGCTTTAACCTGCTGCGCCACTAGGGAGGGCCCCAAACAAATCTTTTTTAAAAACTAACTAAATAAATGAAATAGAATGGCATGTAGCACAAATAGACCTGTCACAAAAAATGTTGTACGAGCAAGTACAAGATAAGTATGCTTAAGGATGAGAACATGGACACGAAAACAGTAAGACTATTTCCACTCTTTCCCATTTAATACCCAATCAATAGGTGATTATTCAAAAGTCCCAATATCCAGGGTTCATGGAGTGTTGACAAAACCGGCAGGCAGTCTCCTGTTGGGCCAGAGGCAGAGTACCCCGGGCCCCACCCCCACTCCGCAGAGGGCGCCCCACCCCCACTCCGCAGAGGGCGCCCAGCCCTCACGTTGTCCTCTGCCCGCAGCACTTCCTCACCGCCCTGGGGGGACTCGTGGCCATACCGCTCATCCTGGCCAAGGACCTGTGTCTGCAACACGACCCCCTGACCCAGAGCTACCTGATCGGCACCATCTTCTTCGTCTCTGGCATCTGCACTCTCCTGCAAGTGTTTCTGGGAATCCGGTAAGCAAGACTCCCCCTGCAACCCGCTAGTAGCTGCCCAGGTGCTGGGCAGGCTGGCCAGGCCTGGAGCTGGGGGCGAATTAGGAGGCGCACCAGGGGCTCCGTCAGGGCTCTCTCCACCCCCCAGTCACACAAATCCTGAGGAGCGTCAGCAAAAACCTGCTTGTTAATAACAAAAGATCAAGCCAAGAGGGAGGCAGGGCCATCTGCACCACAGGGACACACTGAGCTGGGCGCTCCAGTACTACTGGAGCTGTGAGCAGGTAGAATAAGGGGCACCTGCCACCCCCAAACCCGCCTGCTCAAATGGGTCCCACTACCCACCTCAGAAAGCCAAGACTTATTCTTAGTATGTAAGATCTTCAGAAGAACATAATTTTAATTCAGCTAGTGTGCAATAGAGAGAAGAGAGGGAAGACAGTTAAAATAGATCCCCCATAAAACACCCAAAGTTACTCATCCTCTGGGGTACAGCCAAACAGGCTGCACCAAACAGGCTGGCCAAAGCAGTACCACTGGGGCCCAGAAGCCTGCCACAGGTCTGAGCACCTCCTGGCGGGGACCCACAGGAAAGGGCAGGAGGGGCCAGAAGTCTGGAAGGAAAGGAGCAAAATCAAACCCAAGCCAAGACAAAGGCTGCCACTGTCATCCTCCCTGCGGGTTTCTCACCCACGTCTCTGTCTCTTTCAAGCGCCTCTTCTGTGTCCCCGAGTCCCTGGGACAATTCCCGGGCCAAGGAGCAGGTGCAGTTTCTGCGCATGTCTCTGCTCCACACGCCTCCAGGGCTTCTCTCCCGGCCTCGCCTGGTCTCCCTCTAGCCTTCCTGATGCCCAGCGCCACCCTCAGTCGCTGCTCGGGGAACACGGGACCTCCCTCTCGACGGGGGGCACACTGTTCCAGAACGCTCTCTCCATCTCCCGTCTCTGCCCAGCCTGCCCTTCGTGCCCCCCAAGGGCAGGGGGTACAAATGGAGACCCACACAGTCCACGTCTAAATACTGGGGTGTTAAAAGCAAACTCACAAGATCTTGTAAAAAATAGATGTTTCAGTCATCTTCCTGCGAGGTCAGGTTTGAAGGTAGGTAGGATTCTCTGACTCCTTGCTGTCTGGCTGTGGGAACTGACACCATGTTGGGGGGCAGAGGGCAGCCCCCAGCCAGTGCTCCTTCCCACATCAGGCTTGCCTCCAGATCACAAATGGTCCCACATGCATGAATATGGACACCCTAACCTGGTCCCACATGCATGAATGTGGACACCCCAACTTGTACACCCATGTTCTGTCCCTACCCACTTCATGCACCATATACTAGATTCCTCAAACAGCTGCCCCCCAAATAATAGCAGCCCCCCAAACTGCCCCTGGGCCATCCTTCAAGCCTAGGAGTGTGCACTCCAAGCAGACATGGGAAGGGGCTCAGGGTCTTTGGGGAAGAGAAGACTGGGACTGGAAGGGGAGGTGTGCGGGCCTGAGGTGAGCTTATGCCCTCGGACTTGTCCCTTCAGCCTGATACGGTATTTCATGTAATCATGGAAAAGCTGTGAATTTGCAAACCCTGGGTCTGGATTTTAGTCCAATGTCCCCTTCTGTGCTCTGGGACATTGGACAAGTCCTTTACCCTCCCTGAGGCTCAGTTTTCCTGGCTGTAAAACAAAGGCGCCGAGTCAGCAAATCTCTAAATCGGCCTCCATGGCCAGTGTAGGGGACACCTGTGATGGCAACAGAGAAGATGATGAGGGGTCACATTTCACCTGCAAAACTGGTAATGAAAGAGCTGTGGGCCTCACCTCAGTTCTGTGAGAAACACAAACTTGTCAGAGTTAAAGTTCAAAGAACTGAGACTCTCTTAGAACAAGCAAAGCAAAAGGAAAACAAAATTAGGAAATAAAAGCAGGCTGATGTCTTTAGAGCAGGGTGGGGGCAAAATGAGCTGGAATTTGGTTCCACCCATGGAAACACTAACTGCCTAAAAAAATGATAAACCAGAGTCGTGAATCAAAGGTTAAGCAGATTTGCTTCCTGATTCTCGCTTTAACCAGTATTTAATGATGAACTTTCCTCAATTAGCTGATGTTGCAAGAAGATAGTGGAAGGTCTTAGCAATTAAAACTACATTAAATAATAAAAAGGAGGTGATAAGGAGCAATAACTGTTGCTTTGATATCAGCTGCCCCAGCTCAAGCCCAGTTGGGGCAGGTGTTCACACCCTGGGCAGCAAGAATGACTGCTTCCAGCTGCAACTTGGGAGGCTTGGATTCCTCCCTTCTGAAATGCTTTAAGGGCATGCCTTACAATTCATTAAAAACAGGACATTATGAACACTGCTTTGAGAGGAAACCTGCACTCCTAGGTTTATTGCAGCACAATTTACAATAGCCAAGATACGGAGACAACTGAAATGCCCCAAAATAGATGAATGGATCAAATAGTCATGGTAGATTTACAAATGGAATATTACTCGGCGATCAAAAAAGATCAGGTTATGGACCACAACATGGGTGGAGCCGGAGGGATGGTGCTCAGTGGAATAAGTCAGGAGAAAGACAAATACCAGAGGGTGTCACTTATGTGTGGGATAGAGAAAAACTGGACAGAGGGTGAGATAAAGGCAAACTCAAAAACTATCCCTGACTATAGAACTGAGGCATCCAGAAGAGGAGGGAGAGGGGGAGGGGCAAGCCCAAAGTAGGGGAGGGGAACACCATGGACTATGGTGGTGGCCAGTCGGTGCTTTGGTGGTGCCATGGTGGGGGATCCTATAACTCCAATACACAAACAGTGATATAAACCAACATTAACTCAATAAGAAAAGAAACAACAATACTCCTCTGGTATTGTAAAGATGAACTGGGTGTACCTCAGTGACAAATGCAGGGAAGACCATCTTTTCCACCCTCCAAAATTCTAACGTTTGGGGGGGGCAGACTAAGTCACCTCGATGGTTCTGTCCTCGAGGAACAGAGGGTTGTTGGAGGTTGACTTACAGGCCTGTGTCTACCTCACAGGAAGGTGGGTCAAGCTGACACAGTCAGAAGTTCTCATGAAGCCAGGACAAGAAGCTCACCGGGAGTGAGGGGGGGGGCAAGTGGGAGTGTCCTCCTTGAGCACAAACTTCAGGTCTGTTCAGTCCATGGGATACAAAGGGACCTGAAGGGAGAGGTGTGGGATTGCTGCTCATATTGGAAAACTCAGAGGAATCTGCTAACTCTGATTTAGGCTGCGTGTGGTGGGAGACTCCACTGTATGCGTGAGTTGTGCTTTGATCCTGGGATCTGGGACCGGGATAGAAAACGGCACCACCATGCGTCTTCCTGAGCTCTGTGCTATCTCCAGCTGGTTTTCTAGCACTCAAATCTCTTCCTGGGTGCTCATCTCAAGACTGGGGTTGGGCCAGTGTGTCTTTCCCCTCCCCATCTCTCCAAAGTTTGATAGGTCTTGTGGGTCTGAATGAGAGGTTGCCAGGAATCCCCTCAGACCAAGAACAGCAGGGATAACGTATTGCTTCTCAACCGAGTTAGGATTGGGGATCAAAAAGCCCCTATTGGGGGAACAATAGGCCCGTGCTAAAGGGTCTCGTGGCTAACTGCAGCCTTCCCCCGCTCCAGGCTGCCTATTCTCCAAGGAGGGACGTTTGCTTTTGTGGCCCCCTCCCTGGCCATGCTCAACCTTCCTACCTGGAAGTGCCCCGAGTGGACACTCAATGCCAGCCAGGTGAACACCAGTGCTCCAGAATTCATTGAGGAATGGCAGAAGAGAATACGAGAGGTAAGGGGGCCAGGGTGGGGGAGCTGTGGAGTTGGTTCATACATGTTGTGTTCGTCTGTGTATGTATGTGCTGGGCAGGCTGGGAGGAAGCAGATGCCAATAAGTAGGTAGAAAAGGAAAGCACCAGGTAGTTGTCAGTGCAATGGAGAAAATAAAAGGGAGTGATGAGCAAGAGAGGGGTGGGGATGCTGGAGTGGAAAGGATAGGAGCAGAAATAGATTTACTTGGAAATACTTGCATATTTCAAAGAGGAGGAGTTCAAGTTTCACTGAACTGGTTTCAGGAAGTAGAGGGCAGCGAGTAGCGTTCCTATTTAACAGGGGAGTTTAAGTGATGTTCTGAATGTTAGTTGACTCCAAATTTTATACTAAGGGCTGAGACTGCAAAGAGGAGTCACAGTGATGATGATGATGGTGGTGATAGTGGTGGTAGTGATAGAGGGGATGGTGGTGGTGATGGTGGTGATGATGGTGGTGGTGGTGATTGTGGTGGTGGTGATGGTGGTGATGATGGTGATGGAGGTGGTGGTGATAATGGTGGTGGTGGTGGTGATGGAAGTGATGGTGATGGTGGTAGTGATGGAGGTGTGGTGATGGTGGTGATGGTGGTGGTGGTGATGGTGGTGGTGGTGGTGATGGTGATGGAAGTGATGGTGGTGGTGGTAGTGATGGAGGTGATGGTGGTAGTAGTGATGAAGGTGATAGTGGTGGTGGTGATGGTGGTGGTGGTAGTGATTGTGGTGGTGGTGATGGTGGTGATGATGGTGATGGAGGTGGTGGTGATGGTGGTGGTGATGGTGATGGTGGTGGTGGTAGTGATGGAGGTGATAATAGTGGTAGTGATGGAGGTGATGATAGTGGTAGTGATGGAGGTGATAGTGATGGTAGTAAAGGAGGTGATGGTGGTGATGATTGGTGGTGGTAGTAATGGAGGTGATGATGGTGGTAGTGATGGTGGTGGTCATGGTGGTGTTGATCACTAGATGATAGATGACAGACCATACTTACTAAACACTTACCATTTTCCAGACATTCTGCTGCAAGTTTTTCATAGATGCATAAGCGCCATATAGACCTAGACCCATAGTGGACTCAGATTAATGAGAAAAACAATGTGTAGGACCATTGGCTTAGAGCTAGGCTGTCAGTGGGTACTGTCTGCTTAGTCTTCTCACTTTGCACAGTGTTTGTGTCAATCTATCATGGAAGCTGGCCTTGGCTTAATTCAGTCATGCCGTTAGGGGAAAAGAACAGTGGCTTTACAGTGCTCTGAGTTTGGTCAAGCTCCGGGTTAGTTTGTCTAGTGATAGATAAAGAAGTATCACACTTAGGATCTGGGCAGGAACTCAGGCATGCCTTCAGCAATAGCAGACGAGAATAGCTTCCAGACCCAAACACCCACCCTGGTGTGTGGGTGGAGGGTGGCTGGGGTGGGCTACTGTGGGAGAGAGTGGAGGTCACTGAGGCCCCTGGGAAGCCCAGCTGTCCCGGTTCCAGCTCCATCTTAACCACCAGGACCTGAAGCGAGGCCCAGAGGCACCTCTTTTGGAGCAGGGCAGGATTATGTGGGGTGCTGGGACAGGTGCCCGACCTAGCTCCTCCAGCGCCCCATCCTAGGCACACCAGAACTGGACAGGACTGGACTGAAACTGTCACCCTAGAGCAGAGACCGTTCCTGGAAGTCAAAGCCCATCCTGCAACCACAATCCACATGCTGCAACCTCAGCACCCTCCTAGCCCGTGGCTAGGAAACATAAGGAGAGAAGGGAGACAGAGACGGAGCCGCGGGCCCAGGTTCCTACTGCACCTGCATTTGACCGATGAGAAGCAATGGAGTCAACACAGAGCAGTCCAGTGCCTAGGCCTCCTGCTTTATGACTGAGACGATTGCTCTCATTTTATGTTTTCTCTCCTCCTGCCAAAGTTTGAATTTGGACCTTTTCAAAGAATTTCTTAGTTAATTTTAAACTAATGTACATTAAAAATCAGTAAGTTTGTATACATTGAATTTACCCTTATACACAGCACCTGGATGAGGAAATACAATAACACGCCCCCCCCACACCCCATAACACACCCTTCCAGTCACCTCTCCTCCAGAGATGACCTCTGTCCGTTTCTAACACTGTAGGTCCATCTGCCTGTTCCTGAGCTTTATCCATAGAGAACTTCACAACACATGCTAGTTTGCTTCTGGCATCTTCATTGTCAAGATTCTTCCATATATTCTCTTGGAGACTTATTTATTTATGCATAGAAGATCTGGGGTGTAGGACAGAAGTGCAGGGCATGAGGGGACTCATCAGAGACACAGCAGGGAGCAGAATAAGTGAGTCCACTGAAATTACTGCTGAGGGGAGCAGCAGGGAGACAGGAGAGGTCTGCTGGGCAGTGTGGGTCAGCTCCCTGGCGGGGTTCGAACAGTTGCGGATAGCTTCTTGGTGCTGAGACTTAGCCCCTTGTGCCCCCGGGAGGCCCCTCTTCCATAAGTTTATATAGAGTAGTACATTATATGTTTTCTTGGCTGAAGTTCTATGAGTAGAATGAGGAGAGGGCGGTTGTTTCCCTCAAGCAGAGAGCTGTGAGCCTTTCCTTTGCCTTTTGCTTCCTGGGCTCTCAACAGATGGGCTCCGCCCACTTTCGGGAAGGCCCCCTGCTAAACTTAGTTCACTGGGTCCAGTGCTAAACACCCCCACAGAATCACTCAGAAATAATGTTTCACCAGTCATCTCTGGGCATCCTTCGAAGGGACACAGAAAATTAGCCATCACAGTGGCATACGTTCAACTTCAGTAAACACTAGAAAATACATTTCCAAAGTGGATGTTTTCATATATGCTCCCAGCAGCAGGCATGGACACCCAGTCACTCCCCATTCTCACCAGTATTTTCTGCCATTTTAGCCACACTGTACGTGCACGCTAGTAAACTTGTATCCTTCTTTTATGACCCTATGAAGTGATCCAGGGTTAGCTGTAATTGTCCTGCTCTTGCAACTCTACTTGATCTCCTTGGGTCATTTTTGTTGTTTTGCTTACAGTATTAGCTGACTAGAGTTCAATATCCCATCCTAGGCTTTGTTAGATAGCATCATTTCCATGCTTTTAATTTTATTGAGTATGACCTTTGTAATTGTTCCGTACCTTATCTTAATCTTCCACAAAAGTTCAACCAGCTGACCATATCCTACTCTACTGTGCCATCACAGGACCTGGCTACCATCACAATGTTCATTTCTCCTTGTCTACATGATCCAGCCCAGTGTACTTTCAATTCAGTTGTATTGAATGTGCTTCTGTTCAGGAGAATCAACTGTGATGCCAGCATCCGTCATCCCAGATGGAAAGGGTGTCTAGAAATAGTGCTAAGAAATCATGTTCTGACAACTTACTTTAAACAGAAGAGGGAAAACTAGCATCTTTTGGTACAGTCATTTGCCTGTACCAAAAGGCAAATGGTTCCAGTTCTTTTTTATTTTTTTAAAGATTTATTTATTTATGCATTCAAAACTGGGGTACAGGCCAGAGGTGTGGGGGGGCAGGGGTTGAGAGGATTCACTAGATAGCATGGGGAGCAGAACAGGCAGATTGATGAAGTCCACTGCTGAGGGGAGCAGCGGGCGAGTCAGGAGAGGTCTGCCGCGCCATGTGGGTCAGCTCCGGGGCTGCAGACAGGTATCACACTTGCACTGAAGCAGCTGTGACCAGCTTGCAGTCCTGTGCTTTAGCCATTGAGCCACCGGGGAGGCCCCCCTTTTTTTTAAGATTTATTTTATTTATGCATACAAAAGCTAGGGTCCAGAGGTGTTGAGATGGGGGTGAGAGGATTCACCAGAGGCAGAATGGGGAGTAGAACATGAAGATCTACTGAAACACACCGCTGAGGGGAGCAGCGGGTGGGTCAGGAGAGGTCTGCTGCACCCTGTGGGTCACCTCCCTGGTGGGGGATCGAACTGAGGTCACAGTGGCTGCCAATGGCTTCATAGTGCTGACTCCTAATCTCTTGTGTCACCGCCAGTTCTTTCTTCTACCATCTTCCTTTCCCCCCACTTTCCCTTTTTACTCTATCCCCTTTCTTTTACTGGAGGGAGTTTTGAGGACTTCTCTGCTACACTTTAGAGACTGGGCAGCAAAAGTCACGCCACTAAACCTCCTTGTGCCCTTCCCTGGGGTACTTTCAAATGATTTAGCAAATCGATTGTTTTTGGGTTCTCTCCACTGGTAGGATGTATTCTGAAAACGCCAGATTATCCATTCTAGCCCATGCAGGCCATCAGCATTCCATGAAGCCAAATTAAATTGATTTCTCTAAACTAAATCCTGAGTCCTGGGAAAAGTGGGGTTTCTCGACCTCCAGATATCTAAGCCAGTCCTTTCCAACTGTCCCATGGATGACTCGTGGTTGTCCTTCTCCTATTTAGCTTGATCTGACATGATCTGCTCCACAAAACCAGTTCTTTGTGGTTTCAAGTGCACAATTTCTAATTTTTGAATACTTTCATTGCTTTTCAGCAGTACTCTGAAATATAAGACCACTTGATACTGTGTTTTTTGTTCACACCTACCTGTCCATACTGTGAAAGTGATCCCCTGGGCTGTTGGACTTGTGAGTTGAAATTCAGGTTGGCCAAGTCCTGAGCTGCCGGACTTTGAAGAGTAGCCTAAACAGGGCTTCAGCTGCTGACTAGACCATACTCAAGCCCATACGCCACAGAATGTCCAGTACAGCAGCCTGCCTGTTCTCCACAGGCGAAACACCCTCACCCTCTCCCACCAAAGCCCCATGCACTCCTGCTCTTGGCAGGCTGGACTCCCTGAGCCACACTGACATGAGGGTCACGTTGTTTGTGAGACACATCTGTGTGATTGTGGCTGGAAGTGGTCATCTTCTTGGTCTTAGTGATGCAGGGAAGGTCATCTTCTCTTTTTAAAACTTAAGGACATCAACATGAACCACCAATATTTGAGATTTGACCATAAAGTTCTATCCTTTGAAAGGCGA